TAATATCTTTGTTCCCATTGTCCAATTTCGTTAATATAGATTCGAACTTGTCAAACAAATTAATAGGAGATCCCGGCGGTCTATACCAGGCAATTAATATTATGGGTGAACATTTAGGAAGACTTATTTCGACTGATACCATTTCAATATCCTCGGTCATGAGATCAGACCTGATTTTATGGTTAAGTCGGTTATCATTGATATATAAAAGCACTCCCCCACCTTGTCTATTACGGTCCTTTCTGTACACGGCATAGTCATCAATGCGTATATTATCATCTGATATAAATTCACATAAACGAGTTTCATTCAATGCAATAACATCAAAATTATTTTCAGATATAATCACCTGTAAATCATCAAAATTAGAGCAAAGTGATCGTATATTTAGATGAGCAAATCGCAATCCACAATTTCTCTTTATTCTACAATGAGTTTTACCACAAAAATAACCACTCTTTCTCGAATCACCCTGGTTAGTGGTACTATTCTCATCATTACTAATATGAGAAGTGATGATTACATTGCTCTCGTTGGGAATAGAAGAAACTTCATCCTCATCATTGTTATAAGGACAACAAAAAGTGTCTTCTTCATCATGATTTTCGGAGATAAAAAGATTATGATTTAGTTCAAAATCATTAGAGTTGCAAAAAGGTTCATCTTGATAACTGTTAGAGTCAGAGAAGCATATATGCTGGCTAACCTTCTCATCAACTTCATGGTTATTTAATGGTGTGTAATTTTCGGTAAGTTGTTAAGAATCCACTGCTTTCTGCTCCAACAAACGTCCACATGCGGAGTCGTTTATCAACTAAATTATTCAAATTTATGGATGCTTCCTAGCTTCCCAGGTGTTTGTGTCACGGTTGAAGCATTTCATTCACCTGCTATCATTCCTTGTACTCCAATTGCCAGAACGCAAATTTCATTTTGGTTTTCGGAGTCGATTATCAACTATATGCATTCAAATTTATGAATGCTTCCTCCCCAGGTGTTTGTGGTGTTTATGCATTTCATTCACCTGTTATCATTCTTTGTACTCCAATTGTTAGAATACAAAATGCATTTTGGTTTTGTAGTTTCATGCAATAAGTAAGTCAATTAAAGAGTATGTTCTGCACAGTAAAAACAATGTGTGTCCCTATTGTACAATGTAATGTATCCCCTCATTTTTTAATAGTTAATTTACCCATTCACATAATGGAACTACCCCAATAAACAAAATCACGTGAAAATCACGTCAATATCAAGGTATCGACTTGAGGAGAGTTACGTTCTTCAAACACCGTACATTTACGTAAATGTGTTAATACGTTTATTGCATTAGGTAACTTAAAACACACGTACACTAAATCACGCAATTGTCACTGCAATATCACCATTATAATAACGGGATTATCCCTACCTTGGAGACCATGGTTTGTAAACCTAATACTCCCGTGTTTGTTTCGTTATGAAATTACATCTTCATACACGAAATTATCGCGTCACAGAAACACGTGAAGCGTTAATGATAGTTTTAGTCAAAATATCTGCGTGAAATTCACGTGAATATTACGAGGCTGACTTGAGATGAATCATGTTCTTCATTCACGTGAAATTTACGTCGAAGAGGAAGTATGTTACTGTAACCCGCGTTCAACCCAATAATTACGCAAATGTTACACAATAAATGAACCAAAATAATGACGTTCTCATCCCGTTTCTGAACATCGTGTCTGGGATCTTCCATAATTACGTCCAGGCGCGCCGGAAGCGTCTTATTTTTTCGTACCACGGCGAGCCCGGATTCCTGTTTTATCATGAATATTCATTAGGCAGGGCCGGGGAAAGTCTCGATTCTCTTGAATATTCATGTATGATCGAGGCATGCGCAGCATCGAATATCGTGTGTAACAAGTACGTTGGATTAATGGCAGGCCTATAATATGACATAGAAAAGCAATGTCATGGTCATTTAGATAATACAGTCATAAATGCTGTGTTTAATTACTAGTAAATGCCAAAATGTCAGTATCGGTAGACAAGATATATAGCATATATTTCAAGTAAGAGTCTTGATAGGCAATTTGTGAGTAGCCTAGGCCTACTTTTCTGAGATTAATGGGAGTCTAGTTCTTTTCATGAATTGGTAAATAATCAGTTCTAGGTTTGCTTTTTAAATATTACAAGCAGAGGTTGCATTATGGTATTGAATATGTGATACAGTATTATAAACTGTATAAAATAGATAACAAGAATAGGCCTACATACAGACATTTATCAAAAATAAAATACTTGTGTATTGCACTTAAATTATTTCTATGATCAATGCTCACTTAACTGCATAAGGAAGAAAAGGAAGAAAGAAAAATGGGATTAGAAAGAAGAATAACAAAGTTAAAAAGTAAAATATATATAAATAATAAATGAATGGAAGAAATAAAGAATACGGAATAGATACCAAGGAAGAAAGAAATAAATTGCAAGAAAATTGAAATGAAAAGAAGAAAAAGAAAAAGGGAAAGGAGCAAGATAATATTGATACCATATCTTCAATCTTGTTTTCTTTTATCTTGCCTCTTGTTTTTGTTTAGGCCTAGCTACCATTTTTTCCTTTCCTTTCTCTTTTTCTCTTAAAAGTTCTCTTTGGTTTCTTTCTAAAATAATGAGGGAAGGGGGGTGGGGGGTGGGGGACTCGATGATAATTCATCATTTGAAGGTTTACAATGTGAAGTCCACGAGTTATATGCACCCACTGAAGAAAATCCATGTACAGGGTTGCTGCAGGAACCCCAGCACCCACAGATCCCACGCATGATGAGACAAACTCGAGAGAAAACTACACATTCTTTCACATACATTGAAGAAAAAAAAGAAGAAAAAAATCCAAGATCGGTTGAACTCTTTTTGACCCCTCCCCAGGACGTCGATCAATTACATGTATGTGCCCCCCCCCCAAAAAAAAAAACTCTGGCTACAGCCCTGGCGATAATTACCCACTATTCAAATCTGACAGGTGCCCCTTTTTCTTCAACAAATGCCCCTTTAACTTCATAATAAGTGCCACTGTTCCATTTTCATAAGTGCCCCTTGTGATATCTGATAAAAGCCCTTTAATTTTTTTTTACTTTGACACGCGTCCCCTTAAACTTTCTAACAAGTGCCCTTTTACCTTTTGATATGTGCCCCTTTCCCTGTTTAATAGGAGCCCCAACCCCAACCCTTTCTCATAAATGCCCCTTTGACACATGCCCCCTTTTCCTTTTTTTTTTATAATTCCCCTTTTCTCTCTTTCTCTGTCTTTCGAAAACTATCTTCTGCAAGGTTTGTTCTCTTGACTGAGCAACCTGTTGCAATTCCTTTCTGTCTCACTTTCAGTCGTACTTGTTGCCACTCATTTGCATTCACTCGTTATCAACTACCATCAACCATTCCATATTCACTCCATTACTGTCCACATTTCAATTTCATTCTCTTCACTCTCCCTTTTTGCAGCCTTTCCAGGAGCTTTGCTAGAAGTAGAACATTTTTAATGTAGAGGCCAGAGAAACCGGAAAGTATGTTAATCATTTTATTCAAATATCTAACTTGAAAAAAAGGAAAGTGAAACATTGTTTAATTACAATATATTGACATAATTTTGTTCAAGAAAAAATTTGAATTTAACACTGGAAATTTGTAATTGGTTTGCCAGCCCCCCCCCAAAAAAAACACTCAAAACACAACAGTGGTACCAGGGTTTTTGTTAGGAGGCCCATGTACTGTATAATTTTTATTATTAAGAATAGTTTTCTCTTTTTTTATTAATTTGACATTGGCATACCGTAAATTTCACCAGGAACCCCCCCCCCTCCCGACACTGCCATTACTTCTACCAACAGTAATGCTATAATTCAAAATTTCACTTTCTAAATCCTTCTAATATAAACATATAATCATATTTGTACAGAGGATAAGATAAGAGGATAGCAAGCCCCCCCCCACTCCCTGTTTTCTTTAGTTGGGAAGCATCGAAACATGATTCTATGAAAGCTACCAGTTTGGATACGAAAGGCAATGAGGATTAGCAGTTTCCATATTTAATGCATTTAGAGTGTTGTCTTTCAAACCTTCTTACATACAATACTTGAAGTAGCAATAATTTCATAATCTACAAAACTTCCCATACAGAAGTCCATAGAGGTAAATGAATTTTAACATGTATAATTATAATCAAAATATCATTGATTAATTCAATCTTTGATATAGACTGATAGACCTTTATCAATCAAATTTGAAGGAGAATCTTTCTGCCCAGTCCTCAGTTTCATCCTATAAGCTGGTAGTTGACATTGTTAGAATTTTAATGTTTATTCGTTGAGGATTAGTTATCTTTAATTATTTGAAAGTCGACAAGATGATAAACTTCATTAGCTTTATTGAATGTAGTATTCTACAAACATATAATACAAATAACAAATAAATATCATGTAAATATTCCAGTTTAAACCCATCTCTATTGTCCTTTTTCATTATATGAGGGTGGCATCTTTAAGACGTAGTCTCGTGTAGATATCTTCTGCATCCATCACTAAAGTTGTAGCCTAGTTTTCAGAAAAAAATATAACCCAAGTCTGTTGAATGGAAAAATGAAATAAGATATAAAAAAATCAACAATGACTAATAACATACACCCTGATACCTGCTCAGAAAAAGGAAGGACTGAAATTCACTTGGGGTTCTAGTGGGCAAACCTAAACTATTTTTTGTACAAGACTAGTTTAAATACTGACCGCATCTTAAATTATTACTGATGATCCCATTAAGACGATAGGCCTGCTGGAGCTCGGATCAGACAAGGTATGAAATAAGTAATACAATGTAATACAACTCGTGCTCATACCGGTAATTGAATAATACTCGGTTCAGTATGGGACATAAAATGACCAAACAACTTTGACCAGAGAATGTACTGGAAATAATGCTACTGAAACATACGTAATGTAGACTTATATTTCATCTATATTGACATTTAATTTTTAATCTAAATTACAATTGTGATATTAAGTCAATTATTCTTTTACAAGTCAACTGACAATGAAAAATATCTGTTTTAGATCTATAATTTTCTCCATGACATTTGTTCCACAAAAATTTATTGGGGGTACCTTCATGTATAATAGCACACTTGCTCGTATGAAGTGTAGTAGGCCCGCATCTCTAGATATGATCCCGTCAACATCTGTTCTTTGTTCCTCTCCTGAGTTTGCAAACCAGAATGCCTTCATCATCCACTGTAGAGAGGCATCATCCCACATGAGAGAAAACAAAGTAGGTACATGTACTTCAATTAAAAACTGATACTGATGGATACATATCAACCATAATACATCCTATAAACAGACTTTTATCAATCTTATTTTGTGTTCTTCTTCATCTTCATTGCTCAAGAAGTGAAAGTACCCCTTACAAAAAAAAAAAAATGAGGGGTCCTGTGTATACCCTACATGTAGTGCTTACAATGTGCATTTGATATGGCTCTTCTAAACACAGGACCTCCTGTAAATAAGGACAAATTTTCCTTTGTAAACATAGAAAGAAAAGACATCAATATTTGTATACTAGGTGCAGAACTAGAATAAAATATACCCTCCACTATATATGCTTGCAATGTCAACTTAGTTCCATTTCCTTTTGAGTGAATTAATAGGTGGTCGTTTAATATGTGTGTGCTAAATAACCTGATAACTGTACCTGCATGGGACTTTCTGCTTCATCTTGCAAATATAAGAGATGTTGTAATGTCCTCCTTCCAGCTCTTCAGTTTCAATCTTTTGGAACAAAAAGAAGAAGAAAATCAATACGACAATCAAGGCATCCCTTTCTCCTTAACAAAATAAAATAGATCTAGCATAATTCAAATTAATAGATATTTTTATGTCATGGTTGGCCTTAATTTTAATATGGTGTGGAAATCAACATTCCTATGTAATGAACCACAGTACAAAGTAAAACTAAATGGAAGATTTAACTTGTCAAACAGTGGTTTCTATGGCCTATGAACACGAAGCAGTACTAAGTAGAATTAGTTTATTATAACAAGAAGAGGTGGACTACATACCATATAAGCAGAGGCGGCGCTCCGAGAGGGGGGGGGGGGCAGAGTGCCCTCCCATTTGGTCAAGTACCCTAAAAGTGCCCCTTTTTGCATAGGAAAAGTGCCCCTTTTTACATAGGAAAGTGCCCCTTTTACTCTGACAAGTGCCCCTATTAAGTTTTTAAAGTGCCCCTTCCCCTTTTAATAACTACCCCTTTTAACTTGGATAAGCGCACCTTATATCTTCACATGTGCTCCCTTTCATTTTTAATAAGTGCCCCTTTTTCTTATAAGTGCTTCCATTTAAAAATAGGCCCTTTCCCTTCTCATAAATGCCCCTTTTCATCTATGAAAATAGTTCTTTTTCATTCTCTTAAGTGCCCCTTTTCATCTCTTGTAAATGACCCTATTCACTTCTGAGAGATACTTGTTTTACTTTGACAAGCACCCCTTCCCCTCCTAGTCAGTACTCTTTTCATCTCTTATAAATGCCCCTTTTATTTTGACACGTCCTCCTTTTCCTTCCTATATAATGCCTTTTTTCCTTATAAGCACCCTTACCCCTTTTCGTCTTTGATAAGTGCCCCGTTTATTTAAACATGTGCCACTTTTTCTTTTTAATAAGAGCCACTTCCCCTTCTCATTACCCTTTTAACAATGATATGTACCCTATTTCCTTTCTTATAAAGAACCTATCCCTTTTTCATAAATGCCCCTTTTCACTGCTTATAAATGCCCCCTATCAAAATCTGGTGGGTGCCTCTTTTCCGTCGACAAATGCCCATGTTCTTATCATCCCTGGTGCATGCCTCTTTGTTTAGGTGTAAGAAGTGCCCCATTTTCACCTCTGATAATTAGCCTTTGTACTTTGACACATGCTTCTTTTCTTTTCTGATAAGTGTCTTAACCCTTTCGATAAGTGTCCCCTTTTCCTCTCATCATTAAACGTGTCCCTAATTTCAAGCGACTAAAAGCAATTTCCCACAAAGCTCGCTCGCTACGCTTGCCCATAGTTATAGATGTTATAATTATGTAACTTATCACAGATCTATTCAGTCTTCCGTTATGAGATTGTGCTTATATAACCCCATCAGGATTGGGTTTTCCTCTTTATAAGATGTAATTTTTCGCACTGCAAGCCAAAAACTGCAAAGTATGATACTTAAGCAATATCTTAAATGCTGTATTAAGAGAAACAAATATTGAAATCATCCCTGATAATGTAATCACAAAATAGGGGTATATACCAATGTCAAAAAAATGGTATATTTTCCCTCTGAAGGTGCCCTTTTTTCAAGAAAGTTTTTTTGTTGGTCCCCCCCCCCCCCCACTTTGGAAGTTGCTCCGCCGCCTCTGCGTATAAGTAAACATAATTGTCGACTACCCTAGGGGTCTTCTCTTATACAACGTCCAACAAAAAAATAGATTTATCAAATGAACTGCACACTTTGGAGAAGAAAAAATCTTTAATATAGGTCTAGATCTAGAAAGGTTATGACAAATTGACAAGCACACTGGACACACACAACATCTGAACATTAAATAAATGAATCCTAGGTCTAGTTTGTTTGTTTTTGAATATTTTTATTAATAAGTTCCAGGTTTACGTCTAAATGAAATATGGTTTGGAGCCGTTTGATTATCCATGGTCACAAACAGTTTTGGTCTAAAAGTTGACACGCACCAATGATGCAACTGAGCGAACGGATAGCACTTAGTCTTAGTAATACTAGTAGTATAGCCAACAGAGTCGACATCTACTAAAGATATAAACAAGAATTAACCCTCTTGGATTATTAAAGAAATCATACTTCGTAGATTATTTTAAGGTGTAACGTTAAATCTAGATTTAAATTCAATGGATGATTGGTGAATTAGATTCACGATGACGATCAAATTTGGAATAAAACCTGATCAGAAAGTTTTATCTTGATGCAGATGAGCACCGAAATTCCCCAACGTGGGCCTGCCGGAACCCCGGGGCTCTAAAGGGTGACATGACGGCAAACCGCAGTCAAACTACTTCACGACGATGAAAATCAAAGTGCAATTTCAAGAGAAATATTTTCCTAGCCTTTTCCCCACAAATCTGTTGAGAACAGTCTCAAAATGTAAAGAAATTACAGTAGATCACGAATTACAGCTTTTTCAAATTAATGACTAAATTCTCTTAATCTAGATCTACTGATATTTCAATCAATTACTCACCCATATGCATTCTCCGTGAACTAAATCTTCTCACTTTGTGCGAGTATAGCGCGCGTCGTGCATTCCCACCTCGATATGAATATTTAAGAGAATCGAGACTTTCCCCGACCCTGCCTAATGAATATTCATGATAAAACAGGAATCCGGCCTCGCCGTGGTACGAAAAAATAAGACGCGGGCCGGAAGCAGTTTGGGATTAGAGGGGGTTGGGTGGGGGGGGGGGGGGGGTGCAAACATCCCAAAAGAGAAAGCTAGTTGCAACTGGTCCAGTTGATGAACCATTTTTAATACCAACTGGTAACCCTGGAAATTTAAATGGGCTAAATGATCCACAGTTGATCCAGGCCAGTTATAATTCAACTGGTCTAGCTGAGCCATTAGAACCATTTGGTAAAACTTCCAACCAGTTGAACAGCAACAATACTTCAATACTGGTACGTCTGTATTTCCAATGTAAGGGCATTGGTAATAAGTAGACTTACATAATAGAATTAATCGAAAAAAAATCGTGTACTTGTACTTTATTGAAATTATTTTAGTTCACAGTTAATGTTTCCCTTATTCATGTTTAACTATTTATACAAAGTAGCGAAATGTCCTAATAACTGGTAATTTATATTTGTAGTATTTTCGAAATGAATTGCATATAACTAAATCATCAGTAATTAAGAAATATGCTGTAAATTCAGATAAATTGTTTAAAAAACATAGATCTGCACGCACCCCATATTCAATATGCAAATGAATTGGTGTCAGCTGGGTCAACTCGAAATATGCCAACGCTCAGTCATCAACTGGTGCAACTGGAAATGTGCACACTCCAGTTATCAACTGGTGCAATGAAAATATGCCAACAGTCAGTTATCAACTGGTGAACATAGAAATATGCCAACAGTCACGGGATTATCACCACGGAACTTAAATAGTAACTGTGAAACCATCAAGACACCCACGAATAACTCATTTTCACACATGGAAAACACGGAATACCCAGCTTATATTAATAATCCGTTTGAGTCACGCGATCATCACCGCGGAACTTATGGCAACTTTGACTTCCATTTAAATAGGTGTTTTAATACACCTAATAATGACTAATTTTGCACACCTAAATATCACGGATTCACAGCTTAGATTAGTAATCAGTTTTAACTACGTGATCATCACCAAGAAAGTTATGGTAACTTTGAAACCATTTAAATAGGTGTTTTAAGACACCTAATAATGACTAATTTTTCACTCCTAAAAGTCACGTATGACAAGCTTAGATCAATAATCCGTTTGAGTCACGAGGTCATCACCGCGGAACTTATAGCAACTTTGACTACCATTTAAAAAGGTGTTTTAAAACACTTAATAATTACTAATTTTCACACCTACATATCACGTTTTCACAGCTTAGATTAGTAATCAGCTTGAGCCACGTGATCATAACCAAGAAATTTATGGTAACTTTGAAACCTTTTAAAGAGGTGTGTAAGACACCTCAGAATTACTAGTTGAATATAACCAGAGATTCACGGACAGAACAATAAGACGATTAGCCGGTGTAAGTAACGTGATCATTACCATCAACCTTGGATAACCTGTGAAACCAATAAATAAAGGTGCTTACAAGACCAAATAATTACGTATTTATCGCCACCATCGGTTAACTGACAAAAAACTCGTTGCTTGGTCAAGTGGTTATTTGGTCATAAACACTTGATTTACAGAGGTAAGTGGAATCACGTTACTCCAGTCGCGTGATAAACTGGTGGTTTTTAGGTTAGATGAAAACGTGAACAGGAGTACCTTTTATCTTTAAATGAAGGCACGTGTCGATAACGTTTAAATCTAGTTCAAAAGGCACTATACTTTAAAATCACTTAAAATACAATCCCAAAAGAGGTTACTTTTTGGTGTTCTGTTTATTGGGACCTGCCCGATGAAGCCAGTGGCCTGTGACCCCTGAGCACTCAACACCGTGTGGGAGTCAGTTTGTGATCAACTTCTTTTATGAGACAAATACAAGCAAACGTTTCCATATGATAGACAGCAAAGTTTAAGGTACAGGGTTTCATCATAAATGCGTGGATAAATGGTGTCTAGACTTCAATCCAATTCAATTCAATTTATTATATCATAAACAAATCACATACGATATAAGTGCACTGGATCATTAGCACCCGATAAAGCCGATGACTTGAGGGAAGTGGGTGGACCCATATTCATAAATGACAAATGTGGAAAATACAAAACACTTTGAAGAATGAAAGTCATTTATTCCCTTACTTTGTACCATGAACTTTGTTATGCATATGTAAATTCACAAAGCAAAGTTCAAGGTACAGGATTCTATCATAAATGCAGGGATAAAAGCTTTTTATTGTCATAGTGTCATAGTCATCGTGATCCAGGTCCAGATCCAACGTAGACTTTAGTGTTAGATCTAGACTAGATATAGTCTAGTCTAGATCTATTACTAAAGTGAGGGCTAAGTATTAGTTATAGCCGCGCCAGCTCAGGAAACACAGTCGCTTCTTGTTGTTTGTTACACCCGGCTAGCATCGGCAAAATAAAAATCATAATCTGCTTGAGAAATTCCCGTCGGCCTCGAATCGGAATCAGATTTTTGCGCAGTCTGTGTAACAGGTCGACATATACCACAGATTATTGTCGATAATCAACCTTCGAATTGAAACCTTAAAAGTACGAAAGGTGTCCAAATAAAATAATCTAGGGTAAACATTTGATTGTTTTTTAGACAATTTAACGTCGACGAAAAAGGGATAGGATAGGTCCGATAGGGGGTTGTGATAAAGCATAGAGCACACTGACTGCAAGTGGAACGGCGAAAACATCACAATCAGAGATTATCACTCAAAATGGATTTTTACTTTCTTTTCTTGGTATTATATAGTATCACTTTGATGTAGATGTTCCCCTGAACATATTTTGCTTCACTGAGATTTACTTCATAAACTTCTATTGGAATAGGAATTCACTTGAAAGAAAAATGTTTACCGTTCGTGTTTAAATAGCTTAAAAGTTGCACAGTTCATACAATCTCAATTTTTCAGATTCTTGTAAAGTGTCGTAGGGAATTGTGGGAATGCATGGTTAATACATAAAACAGCAATTGGCAAATTGTTGACGTCATTGCTCATGAATAAGCATTGACCTTCCAAAATTAACGTTCAAATTGGACAAAGCTCCCATAATTGATCCAATGCAAAACCTAAGACGTATCAAAGGTCACAATTTTAGTTGTCCCTCTAGTTTTTACACGTTTTTTTCCCCAGGGGAGGGGGCCCGGGTCCCCCAATCCCTCCTGGATCCGCCACTGACTGAGACCCCTGGGTGGCCAGCATTCATTGCTTAGTCCAAAGTTGGTACGAGAGGATTTTGACAACACTCTTTTTAAAAAGCTGCTCCTTAGTCATCCGTGGAAACAGAGAAAAACAGATTATTAGAAGCAAAGCAAAGATAAGAGAGGTATACCCCGAGGTAAAAGCCGGGAAATAATAAATGCGCCCCTTTCATTAATAACAAAACAACAACAAAACAGGATTGCGTACTCAATAAAAATATCAACCAATCAGCATCCAGCAACTGCAAACGTATAATAAGTTTATGAGAGATATAAAATAGCCGTTAAACCCTGTAACAGTCACACTATCTCGGTCGAGTAATCACCACACATAACCGTCGATAGCCCGCTACCAATTTTTGGAAGACTACACTCAGTTGTTTATCATCTTTTGTCAAAATCATCTTAAGTGAAGATCATCTTAGGTGAAGAAAGTGGTGAGACAAGAAAGAAATCACCATGGCGATTATGCAAAGTTGTTGTTGCTTCTCTAACGTCAGGAGTGGATCCATGGCCTGTGGTGTCTACTCATTAGTAAGTGAACATTCTTCCTCTAAACTATCTAATTCTAGGCTAACACGTAACATGGTAATGACCGCTAAACCAACTGGCATTTACCTAAAAAGTTGTAGATTAATATTGGTTGGTCTATCAAGGGAAGTTTCATTTTTCCTTTCTCATTGAAATGTGTTCAAATCCATTTTGAATTGTTGGAATATTCAAATATGAAAAGGCAAATGCCTTCAGATCAAGTCGGTATGTTTGTTTGAGAAGAGGATTCTGTTGTCATTCGAACTGGAAGGAAACTTGTGGAATAATAAAGTCGGAGAACATGTTATGACAGAATTTAGAAGAAAAGTTATAAGATCTATTTTCCAATAAACAAATTCACGTGAAAATCACGTCAATATCAAGGTATCGACTTTACGTTCGTCAATTACTTGACATTTACGTGAATGTGTTAATATGTGTATTGCACTAATTCATTTTTTTTCAGCCAGTATATACAATTTACAATGAAAATATACAACATACAATATAGGCCTAATGGTTAGACCCCTTAGAAGCAGAAATCTGCTTGTAATCGGGGCCATCTTACAAACAATAAAAAGCAAAAGACTTGCATAATACAAGTACGCACATAACATCAACACACAGACACCCTATTAAGACTAGGTCTCGATAGCGTAAACGAACTTGATGACCTTGATTGGTAAGTCGCACATGTATTCCATGCCACTTTTCGGTATATAAAAATTATAATGAATGCTTTAATATTCGAGGCATAGTGGTTTTTATAGACTCTCGGGGAGATTACACCGTGCTATCACCCCTCGGCACGCCTCGGGGCGATAGCTTGATGTAACCTCTCCTTGAGCGTATAAAAACAACCATGTCTCTCATAGCAGTCATTATTACTATATTATGGTTAACGATGCATGTCATGATTGTTTACTCCCTTTTTATAAGTATGTAGATGATTTAACTATAGTAGAAAGCCGGACTTGTACACAAATATCAAAATTGCAATCGGAATTATTGTTATTAGAAAATTGGTCTTTTTTCAATAATATGAAACTAAACCCAACTAAATGCATTACTATGACGGTCTCTTTTATGAAAAATCTAACTCGCCAACTGTTTTATATTGATGAGACACTTTTAAATGAAGAGAATGTAATCAAAGTTCTTGGAGTTTATATTCAATGTGATTTAAAATGGAATACTCAAGTAAAGGAAATGTTCAAGAAGTGCAATACAAAGTTATATATGTTACACACCTTGAAACGTTTTAATTTACCTATTAGTGATCT